TCAGTGGATGAGCATCGACCTATGAACCAGGAGGTTGAGGTTTGATTCCCAGTCAGGGCACATGCTCAGGTTGTGGGTTCGATCCCCACTGAGGGGGCGTGCAGAGGGCAAGCAGGCCGGCAGGGGGGGCCAGTTAGGGGCAGCCAGGCAGGTAGGCAGGTGAGCGATTAGGAGCCAGCGGTCCAGAATTGTGAGAAGGATTGGGCCTAAACCGGCAGTTGGACATCCCCTGAGAGGTCCCAGATTCGAGAGGGTTCAGGCTGGGCTGAGGGGACCCCCTCCCGTGCACGAATTTTGTGCACTGAGCCTCTAGTTTCAATGATAATGGCTTATCTTATTTTAATCTTGAATCTAGACATAAAAAGAGCACTGTTTTAGGGAGGAGTCAACCCTATTTCTAATTGAAAAGCATTTAAATCTCATCTTTTAAGAAAAAGAAAAATTGCTCACTCCGGGAAATTCTGATGTAACTCCCCAAGGAAGCTTTACCCCTCCCTTCTTGAGAATTCCCTTATCAAGCAAAAAGACTTAGTTGAGGTTTACTTTCTGCAGTTTCTGTTATGAAAACATAGGTAACTTTTCATCTTCTAAATATAAATTACATAAATATTTATATGAATTATAGCAACACACATAATGTACATCTAAGTCTTTGAAACTACATATCCTCCCTGACCTTCTGAGAATTATTGATTTTGAATCACATGTCAATACTGTGAAGTCCAAGTCAGCATTTATTTGCTCATTCACTCATCCTTTCTTTTCAATCATGTACTCCGCCAGGGGATACAGAGCTGCAGGTGAAAACCCTGTCACCTCATCACCCATGGACAACCTGCAGCTCTGAAAACCCCACTGCACTCCTGTGTGGACATGAGGACACAAAGGGAGAACCTCCTCCTTGACCAAGCAGAACCTGGGGCGAATTGGTGGGAAATGTCTTTAATGACCTTGATGCCAAAAGTCAGATTTCCCAGCTCATTTTCACTCTCTTCTATCAACTGGCCATAAACAAATAACATCTGTCACCTGTGATGCAGGCCAGAGACAATCACTATGTGGCTTTCACACATTATCTAGTATCAGCCTGCTAGGGCCATGCCTTTCCCAGTAGCTGTATCAACCTTGCCAAACATTGATTGCACATCGCCACCGTTTTTTTTCTCCCCTGCTCGTATCCTCCACGCTGCAGTCAACCACTGCCTGACCCTGTTCTAGGTGGTGCCGATGCTGCGCTGTCTCTAAAACTCCCTAGTCCATTTTAAAGCTCCCTGTCAGTGAAAGAATTTGGATGACATGATTAGAAATCTCGTGAATGTAACCATTGTGCTGTCAGAATACCATTTAGCTCTCACTTGGCTGCTATTTCACTTTGGGTGGGCATTATTATGTTTGTTCAGAAACAATGCTTAGGGGTCCATACAACGCCCACAGTGCTGCTAAAGGATGAAAGGCCATTTCCTATTAGTCTAAACAATAGAGTGGAAGATCTTTTATTTTGTAAAATTGATTGTGAGGTCCTAAAGAGATTATTGTAAAGAAGAAGAGGAAAAGAACAATCACGCCTGTATACTAGTACTCCTTTAAACAATAGAAATGAAATGGTAGAAGTTCAAATAACCACCAGATGTCAGTGTGGGGCCACCTGAGAGCTCATGGCCACAGGCTGCATCTGTCCCTCCAGGCTGCCTTTGAAATTTTCAACCCCAAAGAGGCAATTTTGTGTAAATGTATCAGACTAAAGCATCTTATTAAATGATTATAAAATATATTTAAATGCATCTTAGAAATGAAGTTCTTAAGAATGATTTCAGGAAGCTGAAAGATTTACATTTACTGTAATACAAAATTTTAGCTTCACAAGTCTTCTAAATATAATTAATTCAGAGGAGTCTCATAAATCAAAATAGAGAATTAATGACCACACAGAAAATTTAAGAAACAATAATTGATTTTTTAATAGAGAAGAGATTATTTAAGCAACTTCAGCTATTACCCAAATAATTATTTTTCTCCTAATGGCTACAAACCATTGTGCATAAAAATGATCCGTATAACTTTCACTTATTCTAGAGGAAGTCAAAGAAATTTTACAAAATTTCTGCACCTTAAGGTGAAATATCTGCTGTTGCTTTTAAAATATATCATGGTATAGGGATGGCAAGCAAATTTACAGAGGTAATACCAGAGGTATTTTGAGGTATAAAAAGAAATATACATTTTAAAGTTTGAGAATTTGTACTTTAAAATATACTACAAAAGCCAGCCTCTTTGTCCTTGCTCTGCCCCAGATATAGTGAACAAATGTGCAAGCAAAGGCCATGTTCAAGAGAGGACTGAAATGAGCATAGAAAGACACAGAACCTCATTACATCATTGAAAAAGTTACATGTAAATAGGATTTTATAAATTCAATATTCTTTCCCTTTTCCCCTAGAATCACAATTTTAAAGATGCTTTAATTTCTTCCCTCCCTTCCACTCTTTCCTGTGTTAATTTACCTTCAAGTAGCAGTAAGTGCTAGCATTTAAGTTATCAACTTTAAAATAAATACTATAATGCAGTATTCAAATAGAAAGAAACTAACTTTTTTTGAATGACAAGATGTGCTAGGGTGCTTTATATTAAGTTATTTCATTTAATCATCACATCTATTCAGTGAATTAGTTATCACCTAACATTGCAATGCCATGGTAAATAATTTTTAGAAAGTAAAGAACCATGTGTTTTGTAGGTTCTGAGTTTTGCATAATAGGATTGCTTAAGTCAGGGGCTATCTTTTAATTAGAGAACAAATTAGAAATCAAGAAAGGGACAAAAATAAACTAAAATGCACAAGTGATTTGGTTTGTCTCGCTTGTCAAGAAACTAGTCTTTGGAAGTCACCGGGCTTTTCTTGATACATTATTCCGTGTCAATAAGGTCTTATTTTTGTCCACTGAAGACACTGACAGTCTCACATAATTTTCTTTGTTTTGTTTTGAAAGAATTATTGCCAACTAAGTTTCTGCAAAGAGAACTTATGTGAAGTTTGTTTCACATGATTCTTCACTCAAGTAAGTTTGATGAAATAATCAGCTAATTCAGAAAAGAGAAACAATAAAATTGCTTCCGAGGCTAATACTGCATGCAGGGCTGAAATGTAAGTGTTCAATAGGCTCTTTTGTTATTGCATAGATAGCCTAAAGGGAAAGTCTTCTGAGAGCCAGATGCAACTATCCATAGGCAATTAGCTCAGGGGCCAGACTACAGTGCTAATGAGGTTGGGGTTATGAGTTTAAACCCATGTAGTTTCCCTAAAGAGAGCTAGCTATTGCACTAGCCACATGTAGGACCCATGAAAGAAGCACTGCAAACCCATCCTCACTCCTGAAAAAATAAGCCAGCCTATATTCCATTACAGTGGCATCTTTTTTTATATGAAGGTCATCATTATATGTCTTGCTTATGTAAACATACCACCAAATATTTGGATTCAGTTAATTTTGTAAGAGGTTCAACCCTTTGTGGACATCAGTCATATGATTTGGCCAGTCATTCTTGTTATTGCAATTCAAAAGAGGAAAGTCCCACTCTATAAGATTCATATGTTCCCAGTGTAGAGAATATAGATATAATAGATTTCTTCAGCAGAAAAGGACGGGGGGATACAGCAGAAAACTCCCTCCTTTATCCTGCCTCCCAAGTGGGGCCAGCTTTATCTCCTAGGCATTTCCAACTTGGCAAATTCCCCAGTGACTGACTCTGGGAAATAGTACAATCATTTTTTATAATGACATACAACCACTGGCACACTTTTGTTTGAAACCCTGGGGGTATATCAGAAAGGCTTGGCATCGTTGGGTGCAAAAGCAAAATTTTGCCTTGTGATCTATGAATTCCTATAACTTTTCCAAGAGCTTCTAGGGTCACCTTGTGCTCATTACCCTTGACTGGTCAAGGGAAAGCATTTTTCAATTTTCTCAGAAATTAATTCAGCACTGGTAATTTCAGTTGAATGGATAGATTGAGGAAACAAGAGATACTATCTTAGGATATTAGAAATTGAGATGGCAGATAGAGATCAATTTCTGTTATTGTCCTCTGCTACTGATCTGGCTAGAAGGTATTTTGCTGTGTGACGGCTGACGTTTGACAAATGGTTTTGGTGGCGGGATTAAAGTCCTTGTCTATTCCTACCAAACAGAGGCCACGAGTTCCTATCATGGATGCTACTGAAGACTTGCTGTACACAAAGGACTATAACCAATGAGCCCCACTGCCACAATTCCCTCTGACAGTTTATTACTTGTAAAAATTAGTCCTCAAATGTATACTACTAAAATGTCACTGACTATCCTAACACAATTAGAATTCTTTGTCCTCTGTGTAAGAGGCTCTTTTCCAGAGCTAAGATACATCAACACACAATTTTATAATTTTCTACCTATTTTCCTCAGTATGGGCTTTCATAATAATAAAGATACATTTTCAAGAGCATGACTGAATATGCTCAAATGAGGAGAAAGCTAAGCCATTATCCTGACTTCAATTTGAAGTACGTGGCAGAGTGTGGGGTTAGGGAAAGTTTTCAGTTGCAAAACAGTTTATTCTTATAGGACACACACACCCCCCCCCACACACACACCCAGAACAAAGACTTTTCTCTTGCCAGTTCTTACCAAGGTGGGTAATTAGGACCACTTTCAATATTCTCAGTCAGATCTCATAACTAGTTTATTTTCCCCATATACTTACCTTTTCTAAGTAGGTATAGCTCCAAATTTTCCCATCAGCCCAAGTTCTTGAAATTATTTTTCCACTCTGGTCATATTCCATTTTTTCATTCCACATCCCCCTTTGAATAAACGTCACCAGTCCTGAAGGTGAATACGTGATGTTCACTTCATTATATCTGCTTACAGGAGACCACAGAACAGGTCGTCCAGTTTGGTCATAAAGAATTCGAAGGGTGAATTTCCGATGGTCATCATAGATCTTTCCTGTGCGTGTTATATGATCAAAATCTATGGACAGCAGGTTTCTGTTATGGGCCTACAAAAAAAAAAGAGATACAAAATTCATTTGAAGCTCTGTCTTGGTTCCCCTATCTAGCACACTCACAATCACAAAGCTTTTTCTGATTCTCCAACAATGGAGTGTCTCTGGCCTTTGAATCCGAATGACTTTCACCTTCCTCAGATGACACTGATCTTTATTCTCCCATCAGACCATACAATCCTGGAGGGGTGGGCTATGTCTTAACTCTTGGCATGTGCTAGATCCTCGATATAAGGTTGTTGGTTGTTTTCCCCCAATTTAACTTCCTCAAAGATACGGACACAATTTTCAATAATTATGTAATCTTATGTGAGTCAGATACCTACTAAGGAGTGGGACTTCCTTCTCCCTCTTTACCAGTGAAGTGGCTAGAACATACAAGGGTGAATTATTTATGTGATTAGAAATCAGAACGAAGTGATATATTGACCCCTGTAATTTATACAGATCCCCTTCTTATTCTTCCTTGTTCATCAGGGTTTAGAGTTATATCACTTCTACCACAGGGAAATTTAGGTTGCCCCCTAGTGATGGGACCTCAAGCAGCAATATTTTCATGGAGGCCACCAGATAAATGTGTTGGTAGGTCCCCTAGTATTTGCACAGGTGGCACCACTAAATGAAGTCAAAGAATAGAATTTAGTTTTGACACCAAGTCTAGAAATAGTTTTTGGCTTGGTTCTGGTTCTCGACTTGCTTGACTGCATGCTAGCATTCCTTCTGTGTACCTCACAACCATGAAGTTAACCTAGAGAAAATGTTGTACTAGAGAAAGCCTGATGTAATGGATCTTGGGTGGATTCCATGAAGGACAGCACTCAGTGGTGCCTGACTCCTAGGAAATTCAGCTGGGTCCACAAAAGATGACCTAACAACTAACTGACTTAGTGAAAAAGTTTAAAAATTAGCAGAAACAACTTTTACTGGGTTTTCAAAGCAACTGGACAACTGACCTGATTTTTTCTACTCTTCAGATCATTTTTTTTTGTTACTGGTATAACTTATTTTGAAAGAGTAGGACTCACAAGAAGTTGCAAAAAAGGTACAAAGTCACCATGTACCCTTCGCCCAGCTTTCAAGGGACAGATTTCTAATTCAGGTAGAGGAAGTCCAAGGCAAGGAACCGAGGTAAGAATAAGAAAGAAGAGACTTTTAGGAGTGTAAATAGCAGTGGCCCCGGGGGTCAGGAGATATTGAGCTAGCTGCTTGACTGTGCACCAGTCATGTCTTCTATCAGGGCCTTAGTTTCCTTATTTGTGAAATAGCAGTGACAGAACCACTTCATAACACAGAGTTGTGCTAAGAATTAAATGAGATTACATATATAGGTACCTGGTAAAGTGTAAAAATAGTATTAGTAATTGTTATTTTTAGAATATAATGATTACTTTTCTAATTTTAGTTGGGCTTTTGAATGGGCCCATGTGTCAGATTCAAAGGTGATTGTAGCTTGGTGTACTAGGTTTATAGCTGTAGGAATTGTCAACACAATCTCAAACAAAATGTTAAATATCAGGTTAATGAGTTAGGGGGGAAAAAACCAACATTAGGGTTTGACTACATTAACCATAGTTGGAATAAATGGATTCACCAGCTATTTAACTAAACTTTATGTTCATTTAAAAAAAATTTATTTTATTATTTAAAGTATTACAAATAGTAGTACATATGTCTCCTTTTTTCCCAATTGACCTTCCCCTGGCCTCCCCTACCCCCCGGCACTTGCCCTCACCCCCCCGCCCAGTGTCTTGTGTCCATTGGTTATGCTTATATGCATGCATACAAGTCCTTCGGTTGATCTCTTACCTACCACCCCCAACAATCCCCAGCCTTCCCGCTGTACTTTGACAGTCTGTTCAACGCTTCTCTGCTCTGTATCTATCTTTTTGTTCATCAGGTTATGATGTTCTTTATTATCCATAAATGAGTGAGTTCATGTGGTATTTTTATTTCACTGCCTGGCTTATTTCACTTAGCATAATGCTCCCCAGTTCCATCCATGCTGCTGCAAATGGTAAGAATTCCTTCTTTTTTATAGCAGCGTAGTATTCCATTGTGTAGATGTACCATAGTTTTCTAATCCACTCATCTGCTGATGGGCATTTAGGCTGTTTCCAAATCTTAGTTATTGTAAATTGTGCTGCTATGAACATAGGGGTGCATATATCCTTTCTGATTGGTGTTTCTGTTTTCTTGGGATATATTCCTAGAACTGGTATTACTGGGTCAAATGGCAGTTCCATTTTGAAATTTTTGAGAAAACGCCATACTGTTTTCCACAATGGCTGCACCAGTCTGCATTCCCACCAGCAGTGAAGGGGGTTTCCTTTTTCTCCGCATCCTCTCCAGCACTTGTCATTTGTTGATTTGTTGATGATAGCCATTCTGACAGGTGTGAGATGGTACCGCATTGTCGTTTTGATTTGCATCTCTCCGATGATTAGTGACTTTGAGCATGTTTTCATGTGTCTCTTGGCTTTCTGAATGTCCTCTTTTGAAAAGTGTCTACTTAGGTCTTTTGATCATTTTTTGATTGGATTGTTTATCTTCCTTTTGTTGAGTTGTATGAGTTCCCTGTAAATGTTGGAGATTAAACCCTTATCAGAGGTAACATTGGCAAATATGTTCTCCCATGGAGTGGGCTTTCTTGTTGTTTTGTTGATGGTTTCTTTTGCTGTGCAGAAGCTTTTTATTTTGATGTAGTCTCATTTGTTTATTTTCTCCTTAGTCTCCCTTGCCCTAGGATCTGTGCCTGTAAAGATATTGCTACAACATATGTCTGCAATTTTGCTGCCTATGGAGTCTTGTAGGATTTTTATGGTTTCCCGTCTTACATTCTAGTCCATTAGCCATTTTGAGTTTGTTTTTGTGTATGGTGTAAGTTGGTGATCTAGTTTCATTTTTTTTGCATGTATCTGACCAAATTTCCTAGCACCATTTATTAAAGAGGCTATTTTGGCTCCATTGTATGCTCTTGCCTCCTTTGTCAAATATTAATTGAGTATAATGACTTGGGTCAATTTCTGGGTTCTCTATTCTGTTCCATTAGTCTATATGTCTGTTCTTGTGCCAGTACCAGGCAGTTTTGAGAACCATGGCTTGGTAATATAGTTTGATGTCTGGTATTGTGATCCCTCCAACTTTGTTCTTCTTTCTCAGGACAGCTGTGACTATTTGGGGTCTTTTTTGTTTTTTGTTTTATTCCAGATGAATTTTTGGAGAGTTTGTTCTAGATTTTTGAAATATGCCATTAGTATTTTAATAGGTATTGCATTGAATCTATAGATTGCTTTAGGTAGTATGGACATTTTAATGATGTTGATTCTACCAATCCATGAACACGGTATGTTCTTCCATTTGTTTATGTCTTCCTCTATCTCTTTTTTCAATGTCCTGTAGTTTTCCGAGTACAGGTCTTTTACGTCCTTGGTTAAGTTTATTCCTAGATATATTAATTTTTTTGGTGCAATGGTAAATGGGATTTTTTAAATCTCTCTTTCTGTAAGTTCACTATTGGTGTATAAAAAGCCCATAGATTTTTGGGTGTTAATTTTGTATCCTGCTACATTGCCAAATTCATTTATTAGGTCTAGTAGTTTTTTTTGATGGAGTCTTTGGGGTTTCCTATGTATAGTATCATGTCATCTGCAAATAAGGACAGTTTTACTTCTTTTCCAATTTGGATGCCTTTTATTTCTTCTTCTTGTCTGATCGCTACGGCTAGTATTTCTAGTACTATGTCGAACAGGAGTGGTGAAAGTGAGCATCCTTGTCTTGTTCCTGTTCTTAGGGGAAATGGGTTTAGTTTTGGACCACTGAGTATGATGTTGGCTGTAGGTTTGTCATATAAGGCTTTTATTATGTTGAGGTATGTTCCCTCTATTCCCGCTTTGCTGAGAGTTTTTATCAGAAAAGGGTGTTGGATTTTGTCAAATGCTTTTTCTGCCTCAATTGATATGATTATGTGATTTTTATCTCTCAGTTTGTTTATGTAATGTATCACATTTATTGATTTGTGGATATTGTACCATCCTTGCCTCCCTGGAATAAATCTCACTTGGTTATGGTGTATGATCTTTCTAATGTGTTGCTGAATCCGATTTGCTAGAATTTTGTTGAGGATTTTAGCATCTATGTTCATCAAGGATATTGGCCTGTAGTTCTCTTTTTTTGTGGTGTCTTTATCTGGTTTTGGGATTAGGGTAATGCTGGCTTCATGGAAAGAGCTTGGAAGTGTGCCTTCCTCTTGAATTTTTTGGAATAGTCTGAGGAGGATAGGTTTTAGTTCTTCTTTGAATGCTTAGTAGAACTCCCCTGTAAAGCCATCCGTACCAGGGCTTTTGTTTGCTGGAAGATTTTTGATCGCTGTTTCAATTTCTTCAGTAGTTATCAGCCTATTCAGGTTTTTTTATTCTTCTTGGTTGAGTTTTGGGAGCTTGTATTTTTCTAAGAATATGTCCATTTCATCTAGGTTGTCCTTTTTGTTAGAATAGAGTTGTTCATAGTATTTTTTCATAATTGTTTGTATTTCTGTGGGATCAGTTGTTATTTCACCTCTTTCATTTCTGATTTAATTTATTTGGGTCCCCTCTCTTTGCTTCTTGGTGAGTCTGGCTAGAGGTTCATCAATCTTGTTTATTCTTTCAAAGAACCAGCTCTTGGTTTTGTTGATCTTTTGTATTGTTTTTTTGGTCTCTATTTCATTTATCTCCGCTTTGATCTTTATTATTCCTTCCTTCTGCTTACACTGGGCTTTTCTTGTTGCTCTCTTTCTGACTCTTTGAGTTGTAGGGTTAGGTAATTTATTACCATTGTTGCTTGTTTTTTTGTGGTAGGCTTGTAGAGCTATGAACTTCCCTCTCAAGACGGCTTTCACTCTGTCCCATAGATTTTGGATTATTGTGTTTTCATTGTTGTTTGTTGCCATGATGCTTTTTATTTCTTCTTTGATCTCTCTGGTAACCCAGTCATTGTTTAATAGCATGCTATTTAGC